CTTTGTCCTTTCCTCTCCAGGATCTGACGCCAGACTACTCCATGGAGAGCCACCAGAGAGACCACGAAAACTTCCTTGTGGTGTCTCGTAACAGACGGAGACGAGCAAAGGCTCTGCTGGATTTCGAACGTCACGACGACGATGAATTGGGCTTCAGGAAGAACGACATCATCACCGTGAGTTACACTAAGACGCACACTACCGTTTAAACGCATCCTTTGCACTTACTCCCCCTCATCTTTCTGTGTTAGATCATTTCACAAAAAGACGAGCACTGTTGGGTCGGCGAGCTCAACGGCCTGAGAGGTGTGTGCTCTTTATTACTTCAATCATTAAACATTACGTTGCTAATTTGTTTTCACATCCATTATTTATTTTCTCCCTCGTGAGATAGGTTGGTTTCCAGCCAAGTTTGTGGAAATTCTGGATGAAAGAAGCAAGGAGGTAAGCTATCAGATGCAGAAGCCTATGCACAATATGCACACAGCTTTGGACATCTGTTCCTTTGAATATTCTACCAACTGGTGCACCTGCCTGTGTCCAGTACTCATTAGCAGGTGACGACTCTGTGACGGAGGCAGTGACTGACCTGGTCAGAGGAACCCTGTGTCCTGCCCTGAAGGCCATCTTTCAGCATGGATTAAAAAAGCCCTCTATACTTGGAGGACCTTGTCACCCATGGTTATTCATAGAGGAGGTAGTTTTTTTTTTGTTATTATTATTATTATTATGGCCTCATAAATGAAATGGCTTTTGTCAGGTTCAAAATAGAAATGCATTATTCTACCTAATGTGCTTTTCCTCAGGCAGCTAGTAGGGAGGTGGAGAGAGACTTCAATTCTGTCTACTCTAGACTTGTGCTTTGTAAAACATACAGGTAAATGCAATCTTTTTTTTTTTTTCCATTTTTGATAAATCGATCTATACTAAATGAATATTTTTCCAACAGAAACACCCAGCCTTCTTATTTGGTGCACCCTCCCCCAGCATAACATTCTTACATCTTTTTATGCAAAATTTCTGTGACGTATTTATTGTCATGTTGTAAAATTATTCAAATTAAATTAATTTAGATATTCACAGAATCATAATGTGATTAAAATTGAATGAATGTACATTTATTTGAGCGTGGTTTGCATGTTGACAAACGTAAGGAGCCAGTAAGTCAAAAGTTAGTCTACAAACGGGTAACGATTGCAGCACAGAGTCGGTATCTGGAGCTTCTACACCACTCTGCTGCTGCTGTTGTTAGGAAACTTATAGAGCATCCAGACCTACATTTATAATTCAGTACCAGAGATCACTTCTGAAAAACTTCTATACAATGGTTCACTGGCCAGGAATCAGACACCCCATTCGTCATGTTTGTTTTGAAATGGCACAGACACACACACATTGCTGTTGACTATAGAGAGAGAGAGACGCACTGCCCATACAGCACTGTAAAGGAAAGTTGCAACTACTGTTAAAAACTGTAAGAAACGTAAAAAGATGAAGTTTTAAACATGATTTGTCAACTGAATATAGTCATGGATTTTTAAAGTCTGTAAATCATTAGATCAGTAAAACATTCCTGATTTTTACTTACTAATTTGCAGTTGGAACATTGTCGAGGGTCCTGCCCTTCTTTGCATACTAAGTGTAATATGTAGCAGGAGTGTGTCAGAATATTAATTTGTCATCCCACTTGTTATGGATGCATCAAGTCACCATCTCTGTTGTTTACTAGGTTAGATGAAGATGGAAAAGTGCTAACACCTGAGGAGTTGCTGTACAGAGTGAGTGTACAAAACGGTCCAAAAGAAGTGACTTTAATTTTAATCTAATGAAGAAGTAGTTTTTTCTATGTTTATGTTTTGATGTCTATATTGTATTAAAAGTAAACCCGTCTGTTTGTTCTAGGCAGTGCAGGCTGTAAACATGAGCCACGACTCTGTACACGCTCAGATGGATGTCAAGTTCAGATCTCTGGTGTGTGTTGGCCTAAAGTGAGTTTTCTCACAAACGCACACATGTTTACCAAAAGTTTCACATATTAACTTCAAGAAATGTAGATGATACTTGGTTCCTAACTTTGCATCTGTCTCTCTAGTGAACAAGTTCTCCATCTGTGGTTGGAGGTGTTGTGCTCCAGCATGGCTGCTGTAGAAAAATGGTATCATCCGTGGTCCTTCCTGCGCAGTCCTGGTTGGGTGCAGATCAAGTGTGAGCTCAGGTATTAAGATGGGCGACAGGAAACCAAAATATTAAATAAAAACTGTATGTGTAGTAAGCTTATGCCTCTGCCCACACTTTTCACTCTGTAATTTGCATGTTTGCCATGCAATATAAGCGTCAATTTGCTTGTGTACGTTTGTTGGACAGATTGTCATACTTGACAAAAATTAATATTGTTAAATATGCTGTTTTCAATTTACTTTGCTTCTGATTTCCATTTGGGCCAAATTAAAACTCCTGGAAAGGCAGCATTGCTTGAGTTTTAATTGAACTCTCCCCTCTGTAAGAGGAAGTTTTGCACCAGTTCAATTACTGTTCAGCATGTGGATAATGGAGTTAAAACCTTCAAAAGGGAAACTTATTGACACTACAAGGCCATGGTGTTGAAATAAAACATACTCTTTGTTTCTGCGTCCTCAGGGTCCTGTCAAAATTTGCCTTCAGTCTCTCTCAAGACAGTGAGCTCCCTGAAAAGAAAGTGGTGAGTAAAAGACATGGTGATAACATAGCAGCAAAATCAATCTGATTGTCAGAACAGCCTGTCGAGGAGAGACAACCTTGACGATGTTGTACCATTTCAGAAATCTGCTATTCTGAAAGCAGAAGTTACGGATGTGCTGGTTCAGCATCACCTCTTTAGTTGGGATCTCTAGGTAACCTGAGTGAGACTGTGGTTGCTGTAAAACTGACTACGATTAGTTATTAGTTGAAGCCAATTCACGGTTTCTGCTCCAAAACACAAAACCTCCCACACTGACTCAACAGTGCCCCTTTATTTCTGCTTCAGGTTTCATCCCTAACCTTAGACTTTCTCATCCACAGAATAATCTGCCAGATAAAACACAAGAAATGTATATATTTTGAAGAAATGTCAATTTCTGCAGATCTTCATAAGCATACACAGTCAAACCCCCAACATCACCCTAAACGCTTTCCTTTACTTCATCCACAGAGTTGCAGATACCATGAATTGAAACTAAAACAGCGTTTTTTTAATATCTCATGTTCAAATATTTCTGTGGAAATCTACAACCAACCCTCCTCCCCCCCCCCCCCCCCATCATATTTTGACGTTTATCTTCCTCCCTCCCCTTTTAGTAGTTAAAATTAGAATTAGACGATGCATATTTTTGTAAAACTAACTTGATTATTTTGAACACTACCGTAAGGGGGCAAAAAAAAGCAACCACTGATATTCCTAATAACGCAAAAAAGCATTCATGCCGTTTCAACTTCAGATTTTGACACTTTACAAACCCAAACCTGAAAACGATTTTCCTTTTTTCTGTATCTAATTGTTTTGTGTTTTAACGTCTTTTAGGAGAAAGAGCAGAAGCCACTGAAGGAAGGAGTGCAGGATATGCTGGTGAAGCATCACCTCTTTAGCTGGGACATTGACGGCTGAATGCACAGCAGAGCATCTGATTTACCCTGTGTGCTGCATCTTCGCATTATGCTGGTGTAGATTCTCGGCCATTCAGGACATAACAATCCAAAGTTGTTGAGCAGAGAGCAGCTGGACTTCTTTGTTTTTTTTACCTTTCGCTAAAAGACTTCTTCAGTTGTGAAGATGGTTGGAAGCAACATTCTCATAAGTGGCAGTCAGAGGAATCTCACGTTGCTTCCAAACTTGCTTAGAAGTGAAGAAGCCTTTTTGGTGAGGGGTGAAAACGACTTTTAAGAATCTAAAGAAATCCAGTTGCTTTCCACTAGGGATTGCATCTTGGTGTTTCCGATGTATTTTCAGCTTCTAATTGCAGTCCATACCTTGGACAATTCTTTGTTAAAGTGGCACAGCCACTTCAGATGTGCTCTCACCCTGAGAGTCATGGGCACTAAATGCACCAAAGTAATGACTGAAACCCCCAGCAATGTCCATTTGGTTTGTAAAGACTAAAGTTTGGTGCATACTTTATTTTTTATTTCTGTCCCGTTTTCAATGTTCTGCCACCAGAGCTAAAAAAAAAAATATGTCTAGAAGCTGAACATTCCTGTCGTACAGAATAATCTGTACTGCTATGCTGTATTATTTCATGAACACTACTTTGTGCATGAATTGTAAGTGCACATTCAACACTGTTTTAACATGATCCTCAGTTCTTCATCCTGCTGTAAACTCGTATAAAAAAAAGGAACATTCCTAACCATGGGGCTGTAAAGATATAGACTATTTTTGCGAAGAATGTTACTTTCCTCAACTCTCTGAAATTCATTCCATGTCATGTTGCACATGCCAAGAAAAGCCTTTCAGATGGTGATCATGAGCTGTGTGTCTGCTACCATGATAGGGGTAGGAAAAATGCACTTATCGTGCATTTAATGTGTAGAAAGTAGCTACTTTTTGTGTTACATCAATATGTGTTACATTAAAACACCTATATGATCAAAATGTTGATGGTTTTTATTTCTCTGTAGCAACAGTTTTCGACTACTTTAATTTGTAAAAGCATTAAGGGAACCGTTTCTTACTGCACACGTAAAAAAACAAATGAATTGATTGCTGAAAATGTCAACATGATTGTTGCCATAGAACCGTAGCTTGAGCACTATAAACCTGAGGTCTACGCAGAGATGTTAACGTTCCCATATTTAAATGCACAGAAGAAACGTCAAAGCTTAAACTTTGGGGGAAATATGTCTGGTTTAAGTTTTAAAGATAAAATAAACGGTTATAACTCTTGAAGTACTCAACCTCTCGAGTACTTCCAAGTTCACAAAAGATTTCACCTACTTTTGAACATTTTAACTTGTAATGAAAATGACGCACACTTAGAAACCAGGGCTGCTGAAAAGTTTTCTTTTTAATTTGTTTCTTTCTGCAGAAAAATGTCTGGAATTGTCACAAGCAGCAACGGGCCATAACGCATGGAGTAATAGATTTACAGGTAAAGCATTATAATCATTAGCAACTGCTTTATTGAGAAATGTGCTGTCTTTGTATTAATGCCATTAATATAAGGTTACCACCAGTTTAAAGCATGACGGATACTACTGAATCTAACGGTGCGAGTGAGATTAAATATAGTCCAACCATCCAATGGTAAACCTGCGTGTGCAGCAAATAAATAACGAGGTTAAATTAATGCCACAGCTTATTTCTTCTAGCTTAAGTTTTGGATCATCGTTTGCCCTGTGCTACATTCATTTGTAATTCGCATACAATTTGTACAAACTCAGGTTTCCAATTTTTTACAATTTACATTTTCAGTATAAATAGCACGACGACATATTTTGTTGTAAATACACAGAGAATCCAGGAGGGAGTTTAAATTATAGCTGCACTTACTGAAACTGGTCTCCTTTGCTTTCTCCAGCCAAAGCGCCGACTCCACTGACTTCCTGAAATTTCAATACCTCCTCATCCCGAGTCAGACTGGCCTCTAACACCTTACTGCTCTCTTAAAAACAAAACTTTTCCAACCGGTGAAGGCAGCTGACAATAAAACATGTAACTGAGGCAATCTCTCTCTCTCTTTTTTTTTTTTTCAGTACAAAAACAAAGATATGAACTGGTGTGAAGAGGCAAGGTTTAAGACAATCTCGCTCCAAACATGTCTAAGTGGTCTGTGGAATGACACTTGGTGAAGTTAAAGAGGGAGGTTTCCAACAAAAAATAAAATTAAAGACGACAATTCAGCTGTTTCCTGTTGCTGTTGAGGAGGGCGCTGCCATTGAGTTGGTGCTGCTATTTTGGCCTTTTCCTTTGTGTCTTTGGCCACCCCTTCTCCTTCCACCTCCCCCGGACTTTGGCTACAAAAGGAGAGAAAATGAAAAACCCTTTGTTAGGTAGCACACATTATATACTTTAAATGGTAACACAAGGCTGTGAATGGATCACATTACTGGGCTTTTTAATTCAGCTGTCTGCTGGGCTTCCATTGTTCTCGTTCATACACATTTTACCTTGTTCTCTTTGTTGCCCTCTTTTATTTGAGGGTCATCATATCCCTCCCCCTGTGGATTCGGCCACGCAAGCAAAGATGAGTGTAAAGTATAAAGAAGTGATGCAATGTGGCAAAATTTGAGTTTGGGATGAAGCAAAATGAAGATTTGACATTGATTAAATGAATAAAAAGATGAATTGGAGACAAAAAAAAAAAAGGAGGACAAAGATGTTAGGAGGTTAGAATTGATCACTGATCTCCAAGAAGTGGAAGAAAACACCGTAACCTATGGAAGATTCGAAGAATTCGGAGTGTCTATAGATCTGCGTTGACTCACCGGCTGCGACGTGCTCGAGCCAGCCGGCTGTGCTATCGTTGCTGCATCGTCGCTGGTCGCCATGGTGCCGTCCTCTTTTCTGAGTGGCACCTTTTTCGTAGACTGCATTTTGATTTGTGGAGGTTTGGAGTTTGATGGCATGTTATTAGTGGAGTGCAACAGCTGTAAAAGAATTATGAGGAAACAATTCAACTTGAAAACTTGATTTTCGTTGTGTGCACTAAAACAGAGCCAACGCTGCAGCGTCCACGCAACCTTTCTACCTTAGTGATGGTTCCCACAGCCTTGGTGCGACCCTCTCTGAACACCAGCCGCTGGTCACAGTGAAGGTACTCTGGGGTTTTGATGAAGCGGAAATGAACTGAAGCCTTGTCCCCTGTCCTTAAGCAGTCTCTATTCATGGACAAGATGGTGGCGGTCTGTCGTATACTCCCACAGTGGACTGATTGTTGCATGAGGAACAGAATAGGCAGCAGTTAGATGAATCAATCCGTGTTTTGTCTTTAGCACTAAATCAACTCCACTGCTTTGCAACAGCATTTATATGACTTTACCTTTTCCCACATTTTGTCATGTCAGAGCCATAAGATTGAATGCATTTTTGTGGTATTTTGCATAAAGTAGTCCAGGATTGTGAAGTACAACTTTCACAAACAACTATCAAGACATGTTAGTTTCCTTGTTTGCCAAAAAGTTTCATTTTGGTTTGATCTGAACAAAGTTTCTAATTTCACATAGGTGCCATGTTCCTTGCACAGCTTATGAAGAACTTTAAAAAGACTTCTTATGCCGACTTTTTCATTTTTATTATTATTTTTTTTTGCAATACATTGCAAGGGATTTTATTTAGTGGTATCAGAGTAATGAGAGCAGAAAACAAAGTACCAAACTTGAATTGTATGTTAAAAAAAATTCACAAAGCCTCGTGATCCCCCCCCCCCCACAAAACAATAACGTACTTTGTGCTACATCATAAAACTTGAGGGTGTTGGATGACAAATATCTCTCAGTGCTGCTGTTACCCACCCATTGCCTGGTATCTGGGGGATATCGTTGTGGGATGATGCAGAACCAGGATTTCAGCCTCAAACTCCCAAGTTGCCTGGGGGTTTAACTTTGGCGACACCATCACCATGCCTTTTCTTATAGACGAACGCTTGATCTGTAGAAGAAAGTGGTAAAAGAAGAAAAACAGAACCTTACTCAAACACCTTTGACGCAAAATGCACACAGCGTAAAGCAAACTTCTTCTTCCAGAAATGGAGCAGGTTTTCTTCCCCACCTTTTTTAAAGCAAACGAGGCAGTCTGACCGCCTCTGACCTCCTTCACAGGCATTCGTTTGCGGTGGATTGATTTAACAGCAATGGGGATGAAGCTTCCAAGAGGATCTGGGCCCAGTAGCATGGTGTCATTCAGACGTATGAGCCCCCGTAAGGTAGTTCCTGAAACTACAGTTCCCACTCCCTGGAAAGAAAACCAGGACAAGCAGGACTTTAGCGAGAACTCAAACTAAACTAGGTCAAATTTGCTTAATTTTGCATTGTCCAGCAATTGAAGTCAGACAGTGCTTAGTGTACCGGAACAGAGTAGGTATCATCTATCTGAAACTCAGCAGGCTGGTCGTCTCTGTACGATGTTCTGGAGGAGAGCAGGTTGAGAAACATCTTTAGAAGGTCCATGTTCTCCCCAGTGACGTTGGAAATCTGAAAGATGGGGCACATCCTGGCCAGAAATCCACACATATACACACACAGGTTACACATAAGCAGCTTAGTTCTAACTATAAGTTTCGAGTTGCACATAGAGACTCTGTACCTCTCTGAACTGAAGTTTGAAGCTGCGACTATCACATCATCTTTGTTCTGTACAAGGACGGGAATCTTCCTGCAGCCAGGAGACTTGAGTAACCTCTGGAGTAACTTCAAGGTCTCTGTCAGATGGAAACACTCTCACGCTTACTTTTTGCTTATGAAATTCAAACGTCTTCTGACTATGGTTACATCAGCACAATGTACCTTGTAAGATGTTGGCCGGACACATGTCTATTTTGGTTACCACAACGAAGACTGGCACGTTCAGAGCTAAAGCCAGGCCAAGATGTTCTTTGGTCATCCCAACAATACCAGCGTTACTGCCAACCTGTTGAAACAGAAAAAAAACAAAAAAAACATTAGTTGTTTTTTTTTTTTATTCTGTATGTATATTTGTCTCATTTCACACTTGAAAATCTAGTAACTCATCCACATAGAAAATCTAAACACGAAATTTGTTGTAGCTAAATAGAAAAGGCAAAACCAAAATGTTTTAAGGGGAAGAAATTTCCCTTCACACAAACTTTCTGACCATGAGCATGCAGAAGTCCGGAAGGTGTCCAGTCATCCCAAACACGGTGGTCTTGAGGTATTTCTCGTGGCCAGCCAAGTCTATGAAGGTAATGACCTTAGAGGACTTCTCACAGATCTTGGTCCAGTCCAGGCTCCCTCCGTGACTGTCGGGCTTGTTCACAACCTGGCCACAGGATATTGTTGTGTAAAAAAAAAAACAACAAAAAAAACACAAAGATCAGATTAAAAGTCACAATTTGGTACATTTCTGGCTACCTCCAATCAAGAGTATTTTTACTTACTTTATTTGGGAGTGAAAAAATAGTTTTTTTTTTTCTACATTTTTGAATATAAATGTAAACTTTCAAAAAGTGGCAAGCAGGGAACTGACAGAAGATTTGGTTTGATTTGTTCTCCAGCTGACAAAGAACAAGCAGGATGAGATTCATGATTAATGTCTGGCTAGATCTATAATACAACAATAAAACCACTTGAAAATAGACTTCTTGAAAAATACTTTGCACATATCTGTTACATATAACTGATTTTTTCTTAAGTACGAGTGACGTTTACATTCATTATGAAGTACCAAGTGAGTCATTGATTGCAGTGCAGATTGAGCTGAGCTTCGGTTCGTTCCACCTTTCATTGTCCATTGACACTTTAGCGCAATAAAGGTCATAATGTTCCCAAACAGCAGACCTTAGTGATACGTGGGAGTCATGTCTGTTTTGTTTTAGTGTAGCTGCTTCAAGTAGCATGACGGACCTACTCTACGTACCAAGTGCATAGAGTCATGCGCTTGGTATTGCGCGTGAACATTCTGCCTTCTCTACTGTATTTCCTCGATACGCGCTGAACTGACGTCTTCTATCTAGCCCTCACCTGACCCTCCTGGTCGAAGCCCAGGATGTCGTTGCCCACGCTGCTGGTCCTGCCGCTTTCCATCTCATGTTTGTGCCTGAAAAGTTTCTGCCGGGCAAATCCCCTGCCGTTGTCCAGCTCGCCATGCGTCAACACTCCCAGCAGAGTGCTCTTGCCGGCGTCCACGTTCCCCACCACCGCGACTCTGGAGGGCACCCAATAGCACCAGAGAAGCTTTAGAAACGCCTGACAATTGAACACCGGCTCAACCCCTCCAACCCTGGGGACAATGATTCTAAATGCTGGCTGTCGCCGCGATATTCCAAATACTGACCTGACCTCCAGGAAGTCCAGCTCACCCACACGCCTCCGAATCAGATAGTCGACCACCATCCCAGCAGCCTCGGTGCGCTCTCTGAGAGGGATGAGGTCAGAGTCCAGCTGCTCACACATTGAGTGTATTGTGGCAACGGAGGCTTCCATGTCTTTCTCATCCAGACCCCAGTCACCGCCATCTATCCAAGGGGACGTAACACAGCCGTTTATAGGCACCAGAGATTTGGGGAAGTCTAGCTGAGAGAATAGCAGTGTGCTTCTCACCGGAACCCATTCCAACCACATAGATGGTTTCCCCACAGCCGTCCTCCATCCTGTCCCGAAGCTGTCGGAGTAACGAATCATACTGCTCCCCGTTTGGGCTTACAAGCGCCAGCTGTTGGGGTTCAAGGAATGAGAGGAAACAAAGACAGAAACACAAAAAACAACTGATTATTAATAAGTGCATCAGGGATTTATTAATGTTTGAGATTTTTAAGTGTGAATGGCTCATTTCCACATAAAATATAATAATCAACGGAGAAGGTATGTGGGGGATGGAGCAGCCAAAGCTGCGATTTTACATATAAGATCCCAGGTGTCACTCTTCCCACGAAGTCCTTCAGCCGCACGTTTACACACTATGGCTGATATTGACGTGGAGTCTTCAACTCTTTCAAGCCGCGCTACAGTAATAGCTGGTTTGGATTGCTAACAGGAGTAAATATCTAGTATAAAGATGTTTGCCTGTTTTATCTTTAGAAATCTTAGGATTCACAAAAGTCTTATGTGTTACTATATAGTACACATATAGTAACACATATGTGTACTATATATATATGTATATATATAGTATTTTTTTAAAAAGCAATTTCCTATTGGAATATTTACTTTTAGAAAGAAATCATGATTGTACACTGTCAACAAGATTATCTTTGCATTATTGTTCCTGATGAAGTAAAGAGTAAGCATGGTATTACTGTAGCAGCAATTACACAACTCCCCAAATACTAAGATCTTATGTGACAGTGCAATAATATATGTGCATTTCAATAACTGTTGTATGTGCTCTAAAGTCAGCAGAAATATGGTTCTGTGATGCAACCCTGTGCAATCTTTGCATTACGACATTACACCTTTGTAATGTGCAATCTGATGCTTCCAGGAAATACCTTGATTGCTCCCTCTTCCTCTTACAGTCAAACAATCAGAATTACATCATGTCAAATAGTCTGATCATTTCAAGCGAATGGGTACTAAATATGAGCTTCATATTCATCGTTCCACAACACGACGCATGTTGCTGATGAATATCTTCAGAACAAACCCGCTAAATGCTGTTTTGCTTTATGTAAGGTGTTGATACTTAAAGCTAGTGTACAGTCATCACGTTAGGTAATGGGCAAGCAATTTAACTATCCAAAATAATCTGGTGTTATTATTTGAGTAACATATGGTAAAAATGTGCCTTGAAGCGCAACTAATGCCACCGCTCCCTTGGCTTACGCGCTCATGCATCAGCTGGAGCTAGTGTTAGCCACATGGCTAACTATTTGAATAAACGTCAGCAGAAACTGCACCAAACCCAGCATATTCCAGCACAAGCTCTGAGCCCTTACTTTCAAATATAATGCTTAACCTTTGCATCTCCATGCAATACGCCATAGTAACAACGTAATAATCACATGCAGCACTGATATTTTCATTCATTCTTCAGTCGTGTTAGCTTAGCAGCGCTACACCCAGGCCTAGAGTTACCTTGCTGCTGCAATCAATCCTTCGATCCTCGGGTTTGCCATTGGTCATGTCCTCGTCCTCGAGGCACTCGTCGCCGTCCTCTTCCCCACATCCTCCCCGGTCTGGAGCAAATATACTCGCGGGAACTAAAGCGTCAGCCAGAGCTCCAGAGCCCGGTGTTATTCCTGGCTCATGCTCTGCTGCTAATGATGCCATTTCGATGCCAACTCTGTAGTATTAAATTCCAGACTGTGCAAACTGTTGTGACGACGGCTAGCTTATCGAACACACTAGTCGCTGGCTCTCCACACACAAGGGTTTTTAAACTCGCATTCACCAGGCCGAGAATAATCAAACTAAAATTCACCAAAGCTCATATTAATGAAGATAATAACATGCTGGTTAAATGTCAGAGCTTTATAGCGAAACGTTTTCTAAATAATGGAAATAGCCACAACCTCATGAATAGTAATAAAGGCGGTGTAAGTGGGTGTGTAGTTTTTAGTTGTGTTCGCAAATAGAGTGGCGGTCGTCTGAATATACGAGCAGGAGACCAATAGGAATGAGGGGGATTGTTCATATAATTAAAGGTAAACCCAGCCCATCAGAAGGCAATGGGAGCGCTACAAGTAATGTAATAACCCTGTAACATTTCTTGAAAACGGGTTTGGTCACAGAAGCGGAACAACATTTAATTCTAAAGTTTCATAGTTTTAAAATGTTACATTTCTGACAAATAATAATAATAAAAAATAATAAAACAAAAAAGTGGATCTGACTGGTGGCTTCGCTGAAGGCCGAGCGTCTCTGTTTCTGTATTGATCACATTTGAAGTTGGTAATGATCTGCACAGCTCAATAAAGTTTATTTAGTTCAGAAACATTAAAACGACAAGAAGTTCACGATTTACATTTAAGCTGTTGACTAATTTTTGAAAAAAAAAAAAAAAAAAAAAAATCAAAGATAAATATTTATTTTACAAAACTTTATTGTAAAGTTTGTGTTTTAAATAAGCAATTTATGAATAAACTTATATTATTTAAAGACGGGTCAAAAGACACAGAGTGTTATATTAATGGCGTCCGTAAATAATTATTACATAAGTTATTGCCATTTGACACTCTTCATTCTCTCACTCTTTGGTATTAAAGCTCTGAAAAAAAAGTATATATATATTATATATAGATGCACAGCTCAATAAAGTCTTATTGAGCTGTGCATATAGATGCACAGCTCAATAAA